TGAGGACTCGGTGAAGATCTGCAGGTCACAGCGTTGACCCGGTAACCCTTTCGCCATGACGACGCCATGTTCACAGAGGAACACCTGGCACATTTGATCTGGTGCCCAATAACACCGCTCTCTGTGAGTGGGATTAAGTCACCGGAGGCCCCCCTGCAGCAGGAACCACACCTCACTCACCTGTGTCCTGCTCATCACTGATGCCTACCGCCCTGAAAACCAGAGCCTGTCTTTGGTCAGCTCTGTAGGTCGAAGGAAGCGCCTCACAGTGAGCTTTCAGGACTCCGGGTTTGTTTTTTTAAATTGTTTCCTAATGGAGCTGCTTTAACATCGTCTGACAACACGATGTCCACATTTCCGAGTCTTTAGCCTGCCCGTGAAGGCAGCAATATGAAAAACGATCAGTAATCAATAAAAGTATAATCTGTCACGTATTGATCAGCGGTGCCAGTTTGAGTTCCCGCTGTTCTCTATCGCAGTTAAAATCCCGCTGCTTTTACCGGAAAACCGGCCGTTACGTGTCGACCGTGATGGGACCGTTATGTGTCACAGTGCTAAAGCTAACGTAGCGCCGCCTCAGCCCACCCCGCAGCAGCACGCGCATTTAGGCCACCAGCGATAGGAAACACCGATGTCTCACAGCGGGCCCAAATCTTTCCGTTATCAGGTGTGAGCTAGTAACCGGTATGTGTTACCGGTTTGAACTCGCGACGTTTCTCTGTTGTTTCCGTGCGTTTTACCGGCGTCTCCGCTGACTTTATGCCGTTTCTGCCCGAATTAGGTTTAACGGAAGCTCCACAGATGGTGAAAAAACCGCACCAGTCAGATCCGTGTTTACACCCCGTCATCTACTGAAACTCGGTGTCTGGCTACGGCGTTTCCCGTTATGTGGTTTAGAAATGGTCTAAGAGCTGTGGCCCTTACCCCAGAAAGCACAGTTTTTCCAGGGACGCTGAAGCCTGGGCTCAGAACTCCGTTTAAAATCGGTCAGATTTAAAGTGACACCAATCTTTGGACTACGGGAGCACGGGCCAAAGACAGTAGACCGGTTTAAGGCGCAAACGCGTCCGGTCTTCAGTTCGGCGTCACCAGCATGCAGCCCACATCTCACACTTGTGTTTTAAAGGCAAAGATAGCGCCGCCCGCAGCGGCCAGTGGAGGACGGCTGTCCGGGAAACAGACGTCAGAGCAGCGCTGAAACATCACACATCATGTTCACTGCGCGCCGGAGTATCCGACGGTCGATGTCTGGTCCGAACATGTTTCACTCTAACAATAAACCGGCTGCTTACCGCTAGAAAGAGGGACCGGCTTTTAAAGAGTCCGTATTTTACATGGAGTTCTGCGGGCCGGTGAGCCGGTGGACAGCGCCGTGCCCTCAGGCTGCGTGTGGCCCTGCGCTGCTGAATGAGCGCCGCCGCTGACCGCCGGCTATGCGCAAGGAGCCGCGGATGTTAGCACACGTACCTTGCTGCGGATCTGGCCGGACGTCGACACTTTTCGGATGAGTTTCTGCGGAGTTCCGGGCTCCTGTTCCGGCTCACTATCTGATGACTCGTCAGGGCACCGCGCCGCGGCGGAATCCGGTCCCCCTGCCTCCGCCATCCTGCCATCAGACCCCCGGTGTCTACCGCTAGGGGAAGCAGCGCCCCCCAGCGGCAGAGACCGGACAGCACAGCGGAGCCGACCCCTGGTGGTCACTCGGTGACATTACAACAACACGAGTTCTCCGCTGGCGTGAAAACAGCCTGAACTCAGCGGAGAGGGTTTGATGGTCCACTGAGCTCCGACAGGCCTGTGTGACCCATAGCATTCCCGCCTCTTACCTGAAAAGGTTGCTCTGTGAAGCAGCCCGACGCCCCGTGAAAGTCACCGGTGACCAGGTTAACTAGATTTTAGGTAACTATTTAGATTTCTTTACATAGTCCACTCTCAATGGTGCCGGTGTTTCATCATGCACGCATTAAAGACAAAAATAAGTTCTCCTTCTCCAGCTCGTGCAAAAGCATACACGTATCAATGTTATCTTCAGATAACAATGAAATCATCTTACTTAAACACAGCAATCAAAACTCAAATCTAGTTGACCTGAACACAAGCTCTCATGGCAGGTGTGGGGTGAGGGTTACACCTTTGCCCTCGCAGATTTAGTGAAGCTCGCTCCCACACGGCAGAGACTCAGGTGTACTCTTAGGTGAACGGAGTCGTTTTTTATTTTATTTTTTAGGCTGAATTTCCAAACCAAACAAAGTTCAACCCTTTGACTCAAACACAGAAAACAGCCATACGGTGCTGTTGAGTCAGTAGCAAAGGAATAGAGAAAAAAAACATATAAATGATATGAAACAAGAGGAAAACTAAATAATAATAAAATAAAACAGGGGTTTGAGTCCGAGAGCATCTCTAAGTCCAGTAAGGAAATACATTTCAGGGCTTTTGTGTCCAGATCTGGAAAATACTTTGAGATGATTCTTCCACGCACAGAAGTGGGCTCGGACTGTAATATGTTGCTAAAATAATCACATTATTCAGTCCAGATTTTTGTCTTTCATTAATACTCCAGTGTTAGTCCACCTCATATACAGAGCAAAGAAATGTTTTAGAACAAAGCCAACTTTGAGAATCGGTCCAAACTCACAAACTAAGTTGGGCTGTAATAAAACATTTTCCACAGTCTCAGTGTTGTCTTCACAGAATCCACAGAAAAGTCTTCCAGTTCAGCCTAAAGTGTGAAAACTGAGAAAACTCGTTCACAAGTTTAAATTCATTGTCGTATTTTTTGGCCTCCTCATCCTCACTGAAAACAACACATATCCTTTTCAGTTTGCCAGGCTAGCATTTTGTTGACAAAAGGTTTCTTATTAATCAATTCTTGTCTTCCCTCTCTCGCTGGATACCTTCAACAGTTATCGGTCTCACTTCTACACCAAGGCTGGAATATCTCCCAGTCTGTTGAACCATTGTTTTAAAGGGTACCGGGACGATCTTCATACTTGTTTTGTCCATGAAGTGAGTCACGGACCATGGTGCTTTTTGCTCCCTTTTTGATTTTCTGTTAGCACCAATGTGTCCTTAGTTTCACTTGAGTGTATTATGTGTTGTGAACTCATGCTTGTATAGTAGAGGAGAGCTTGTTGGTGGAACTTTGACAGCTTTGTGGGCACTTTGAGAATATCACGGTAGAGAAAGTCAATACCTCGTAATTTCTGTGTCTGACAAAAGAGCTCAAAAATCTTAGTTTAAGGCTCCGTTCATAACCCCCAAATCAAAACTTCTCTACACTCTTAACCCTATCAGCTCATCTCCTGTGGAGACATTTATTATTTTTCCAAATGAAATTCAAATTCACGCTGAATTTGAGTCATTCTGTCACAAACTCATCTCGGATAATAAATTCTTCCAAACACTGTCGTGTTCCTTTGAAGCCATGAATTAAAAGTGGATTTACATGCTGCTGTTAGCCGCTCTCTGTGGACCCAGGCAAAGGATTACATTTGGGCTCTGAACACGCCCCCCGGGCCCAGGACGAGCTGCCCTTAGAGTCCGGGCCCTCTGGGTCCACAGCCTCAGTGTTAAGTGACTGACAGTTAGTATCCACAGACACAATGGCTCCACAGATACTCAGTCCATCTGCAGAGACAGACAAAACAGCAGGAAGCCTCAGTTTGTGGATGTACTCATTAATCATGACACTTTATTAATCCTTAAGGAAATGATGTAGGTTATAGTTGCTCCGAGACAGTAACAGGCTAAACTAAACAATACATGTTACAGATTTTTCAAGTTTAAGAATTAAAAATAGCACTAATGTACACAAATCACTTAATTATAAATATCAAGAATATTATGGATGGATGCTCACTGGACTCGATCTGATCTCTTTATTGTCACCGTATAACAAAAGTACCTCTGTGTGACAGGAAGTAGAAGTGAGAAACCCAAATGTAAAAACATGGAGCCGTGCGGAGTGTGAAACATGGAGAACAGGCTTCTTTAATCAAACACAAGCACAGCGACTAACAGCTCACAACCTCAATCTGTTTAATGCATGCAGAAAAAGTGGAACACACACACGTATGTCAGGTATCACCATATCAGACAGAAACAGGAGAAACATCGCTGCCTCTAAAATAAGCACACTGACAGGTCAGCTATGATGTGCTCTACAGAACGTCAGCAGCTCGTTTCACTGAGCTCTAAAGATGCACTTTACTCGTCTACATTCGCTCAGAGCCTCACAGCTAACAGCCCGGCCTGCTGACACTCATCATATCCAGCATTTCCTTCATTTAACGTGACACACCGACCCTCTGAGGACGGGAAATGTTAAACTCTGCCTCCCAGAAATGACCCTCAGGCCCTCAGCTGCTTTCCTCTGGAACAAAAGAAGCTCCACGTGTTGCAGGAGGAGGTGGAGTTGGACGGAGGACAGCCAATCATGGACGCCTGTGGCCACGTCGGCATTCTTCACCTAACCCTAATGAAGCACTTAGACCAGGGGTGTCCAACTCCAGGCCACGAGGGCCGGTGTCCTGCAGGTTTTAGATCTCACCCTGTTTCAGCTCACCTGAATCAGATGATTAGTTCATTACCAGGCCTCTGGAGAACTACAGGACATGTTGAGGAGGTCCTTTTAAATCAGCTGTGATGGATCGAGGACACATTTAAAACCTGCAGGACACCGGCCCTCGAGGCCTGGAGTTTGACACCTGTGACTTAGACCATTTCATTCATCAAAGACAAGCAGCTCCACCCGTCCATCCACCTCAGCGTCCTCCCAGCCACGACTGCATCACTCAGCTTTGTTCACAGCATAATCACTGTGGCCACCGGAGGGCGCTGCATCAGGTTTGGGAAACCCTAAAGTACACACCAAACCCAGCCATGGAGGAAATGCTGCAGGAAAAAAAGTAAAAACACCTGGTTCCAGGTAAAAGTACTGCATTAGGGGAGGAGATGGTCATTTATGGCAGACAGAGTTTTTGGTTCCTGCTAGCGCC